GATTTCCAGTTCGGCTCACTTTCCTCTCTCGCTCTCCCCTCAGTAAAATTCAGCATGTGTCGAGTGGGATGGAGGGAAATAAAAACAGGAAACTCTGCTCTGAATCCAGCTGTAAAGTGCTGAGAGGATGGTGGTAAATATCACCTTTAATTCCACTGTTTTAAGGTACTGCAAAAAAAAAAAAGTACTTCAAAATCCTATCTACTGATATGAGCGAACCATGAGTACTGATATGTAAAGGACCCCCCCGCTCTTCCATTGCCCATTTTGTTTCTAATTATGATCTCTTAGTCTTTTTTTTTAATCTCTTTCTACTCAGTCTTGAAGTGAGGTCTTTTTGTTTCTCATTATTTTTCATTATTTTTGTTCTGCATCTCTTCAGGGCTGGATTGCATCTTTATAGTCAGTGATTCATGATTTTTTTTTTTGTAACATGTTCTTGTTTTGCATCTTTTTATTATTTCCTTAAGTTCCTTTTATTTTTCCATCTTTTTGAGAAAGTTTTGAGGATGTCTCTTGGAATAGTTTGATTCATTTTGCAAGTTTGCTTTATATAGGGGTCAGTTACCACAATAAGACAAAGCTTTTACTTTGAAGGCTAACGGGCTGGAGCGAATCTGAAAAGTGCAATCCAAACCGGAAATTGGAAACAGTGGGTAGCTTGTGAGTGTTTGCAGACAAATCAGTGTGTACCATGCAAACTATTGACAATCAAGCCTAACTGAAACTGTCTAAAGCAACTGCGCCAAGGTTAGCAACCACTTGGAAATTGGTTGGAAATGGGAATGCACATTTTTTCCTCATCCCCACAGGTTGCCAGGGAGTCACTGCCTAGGCCTGTATGACTAAGCCATTAGTTTGTTGTGCTCTAGTCTCCCAAACTTTCACTCAGAAAGTGAATAAACTCAGATTATAAAATGCAAAGTTAGACACTGTGAGCAACAATGTCACTTTTGGTAGCACACATAACATAACTGGCTTATCAAAGCTCTTACACTGACAGCCCAACAACTCTTATCTTATCTTAAGACTCCAACCTCAAATGATGTGCACTGGCATCACTTACCTCAAGAGAAAATCTTCAAGAGGAAAAGTTTTTTGCCATCTCTAATTATCAAAGAAGAACCAAAGGCCTTCGTTCCACATTCTGAACCTTAATTACGACTCAATATTGTTCTTCGTAGCAAGTAGGCTCCAGATACGTCAGGGTAAACCTGTCTTTTTGTTTCTGGGTGCTTGAAGATATTTTTCAATAAGCACCAGTCTTAGAAAGCTCTGTTTTCACCCCCAATAACATTGACTTTCAGGCAAGATGACGTAACTCTATATTATAATCCTAAATCCTTTGAGTATAAACCAATTAAGACTATTTAATCCTTCTGTTTCAAGTGAAAATTGAAATCTTAAAAACAAGGAAAAGAAGAAACACCAGAACAGAGAGCAGAAATCTTTAAGTAGCAGCTGTGGTGTCTCTGGAAGGACAAAGGAAAGCTGCCTGTGTTGTAAAACTGCAAATGAAACAAAACTCCTCAAACACATTCTACATTAGGGAAAGTAAAGGCTATTGTTTTGAAGGACTATGTGGCCAGTTTATAGATAAAAATGGGAAAAGCGAGTTAAACAGTATTTCATAAAGTC